TTTAATAAATTACAATTAGCGGGACCTGCCTGACAGCCCAGGCCAAAAGTCCAGGGAATTTAATTTGCTAGCACTATATTTAACCCTGTAACTTTCCAAGACACCATAAAACCTGTACATGGGGGGTACTGTTTTATTTGGAAGACTTCGCTGAACACAAATATTAGTGTTTTAAAACAGTAAAATGTATTACAATGATGATATTGTCAGTGAAAGTGATTTTTTTTGCATTTTTCACACACTAATGGCACTTACACGGACGATATAATTGTTGTGATACATTTTACGGTTTTGAAACACTAATATATTTTTTCAGCGAAGTCTCCCGAGCATAACAGTACCCCTCATGTACAGGTTTTATGGTGTTTTCAAAAGTTACAGAGTCAAATATAAGGCTTGCATTTCAGTTTTTTCACATTTAAATTTGCCAGGTTGGTTATGTTGCATTTGAGACCGCTCGGTAGCCCAGGAATGAAAATTACCCCCATGATGGCATACCATTTGCAATAGTAGACAACAAAAGGTATTGCAAATGGGGTATGTTCAGTCTTTTTAGCAGCCACTTAGTCACAAATACTGGCCAAAATTGGCATTCAAATTAGTTTTTTGCATTTTTCACACACAAACAAATATTAACACTACAAATATTAACACTAACTTTTGAATGTTAAATGAAAGTCCTGTTTCCCCTGAACAAAATAATATATAATAAGTGTGGGTGCACATAATATGAAAGAGGCGATTTACGCCTGAACAGACATATAGCGCAAATTCGAGTTTTTCTTTACGTTTTGTTTTGATCACAACATGTGCATTTGGCTCAGTCCTTAAGGGGTTAAACACTTTTTGTTTCAGAGAAAACGTAGTGTTTACATTACTACGTAGGAACACCTCTACTGGTAGTAACTTAGATGGCCATTAGAAGTGCTTCTTTGGTCAGTGCTGTACACTGTGCTGTACACGCCTCGTATTTTTTGCCCGACATGGAGACATTAAACGTTCCTCATAGAGCCTCTTGACAAAGACGCCGGAGTTTGTCGAAACGCGCGTCGAGTTTGACGTGCTGTTCTTTTTCTTTTATTAGGTTAGGCTTTGATGTAACTCTTGTCTCCACTCAAATATGCAGTAACTACCATCAGCTTATAATCAGGACGACCGAACGCTATTTGCAGCAATAGATTTCATAGGGACTATGGCTCTCTGTTAGTCTAGATACCCTCCAGACTATTTAGACAGATAATTGAGACCTCTATCTATTAGTTTTTAATAAAAACAGCTCCTGTTACTTTGACAAGTATTTATCTACTTTTGTAGGGGTTTCTGTTATAACTCTCTATCCTTGGGGGCTCAGACTATACTAAAGGATATTGATCAACCTGATTCAATCAAGATAGTATTAAACCTTTAGGTAATTAGTTCTGTGTCTTTTTGGCTCATTCATTTAGAAGTTTGGGGGTTTCAATCTACTGTTTTGGATTCAAGATATGCCTGAATATTGGGGAGGTTTCCCTTTATATATATATATATATATATATATACATTGCTAGTCTTGACTAGTGACATTCTAGATATCCTTTTGAGTATTAGTAACCCTTCTATAGGATCTAGGTCGCTATACCTTGTAAGCTTTATTTTTTGTCCTAGTCCTGATATAAGTTTCTTTACAAGACAATTTCTTCATCTAACTTTTCTAACTTTCTTTGACTGCATTTATATAATCCTCTCAATATTATAGCATATGTAGGATTTGGAATATATTGGGAGATCCTGTACAGCCTGCATCTAGTCCTCTCCTTTTTAAATATCACCAGCACATTTGATTTTGTGTTTCACTTTTTTTTTTTTTTTTTAATCATAGTACAATTTAATAAAGACTTATTATTTCTTAACTTGGTTTTTTAGCTCTATGAGTCATTTCTACTGTTGTGGGTAATTAGTGGGGGACTGATAGAGGAATATCTTTCTTTTCCTCTTTCGGTTCCCTTCAATAATTTTAATTTTTTCCTCATAGAGATGCTTTGATTCAATGCATCTCTATGAGAAGATGTTGAAAGGTGCAGTGCGTCATTTGCTACACATGCGCGATAGCCTTGAAGTCTACTGGACTCCAACACTTTGCCAAGTGGCCAAACCATCCAACATTGCTTAGGATGACAAAATGTGAACATTTCATTTCTTTATTATTCATCTTTGAATTGGTTATAGTGCCTGGAGTGCCCTGGCGTTGTCCCTCCATTCAGTGTTGAACCATGTTCGTGCAGTATGCCACAAAATAAGAGTGCCTGGCCACCCACAGTCCAGCTCCTTCAGTATGTGTAGCTAAGGCAGAAGTTGCACACTTCCTTGTTGTCATACCCATTCATACCATCAGTGTGAACTCTGACATGCTAAAAGCAGTCAGCTGTCACTCTCAGCCAATCACAGCTGCCCATTGCTGCTCAGGCTAATACTTCCTTATTAGCCAAAGCAGCACAGAGGGGATGGATTGCCTGGGACTCTTGTTTAGCATTAAAACATTAAAACTTTAAAAAACGGTTTAATGCTGATAGAAATTATGGGACCAGAGGACTCCGGACACTATAACCAGTTTAATGAGATGAAGCAGATACAGTGCCTATGGTGTCCCTTTAAGGGAAAAATAGCTAAGCTGGAAGCTAGCTGGCTTGCATATATTTCCAATTTGGCTATTTTGGCCTTAAATTTTAAATTCACTTCGAATTCACTTGAATTCTCACTTTAGTTAATAACCCTATATGTTGCTATTTTTCACGGTTATATGTTAGATATTCAACCATAAAGTTAAAAACAAATGTTTTTTGTTACAGGCTACAAATGTATTATAAATGATTATATATAATATTATTTCTATTACATTTTTATGTGACTAACTGAAGAAGCCCATACTAACAGTCCATTTTTCACCCACACATATAAGGCAATTGATAACTGTACCTAGAGGTGTTAATAAGCTCTGTTAGTTGTTACAACTTATAATTTTAATTGTGGGGATACAGTATAATAGTTTGTTTCCCAAGTAACACATATCTTTTAAGATGTTTTAAACCTTTCTAGTTCAAGTCAACAGAGAAAATGAATGACCACATTTTTTATATTTTTTAACAAGGTCACAATGACACTACTATCACACAGAAATGTGGACACAGAATGCTCCTATGTTCAAAGTCAAAAGTCGTTTTGTAAATTTGAAAAATAATTAACAATGAAAGAAAAAATATACTCCGAAATGATTTTTAAAGTCACAGTAATAGCCATAACCATTTAAGCTAATTGCAGTGGTTATGGTGCAAAGAGATGACTACTTTCTACACTTTTCTTAATAAAATATGTTTGAAGCCCTCAACTGCCATTATGCTAACATATGCAATATTTCACAAAAGTTAGTACACGCCTCGTATTTTTGTAAATATTTTATTATAACTTTTCATGTGACACCACTGAAGAAATTACACTCTGCTACAATATAAAGTAGTAAGTGTACAGCCTGTATAACAGTGTAAATTTGCTGTCCCCTCAAAATAACTCAACACACAGCCATTAATGTCTAAATCGTTGGCAACGAAGGTGAGTACACTCCTAAATAGAAATGTCCAAATTCGGCCCAATTAGCCATTTTCCTTCCCCAGTATCATGTGACTTGTTAGTGTCACGAGGTCTCAGGTGTTAATGGGAAGCAGGTGTATTCAATTTGGTGTTATCGCTCTCACACTCTCTCATACTGGTCTCTGGAAGTTCAACATGGCACCTCATGGCAAAGAACTCTCTGATGATTTGAAAAAAAGAATTGTTGCTCTATATAAAGTTGGACGAAAGATAGAGAGGTAGGTTAGCGCTAGTAATATAAAAGGCAGCGGTCACCCTCTAACCCTCTACAATAAAAGTGTACAACAAAAGCAAGGGAAGGCCTCGCCAAGAAAAATAATAAATAATAAAAAATACACAGATAAAAAAATATATATAATATATAATATATAAAATATATATAAAAAAATAAAATAAATAAATAAATATATATGTATAAAACAGTCCCAATATATATCAGAGATTATATATTCTTAGTTGCTGTTTCAACTGGTAGGATATCTTCTCTGTTTGAAGTAGATCGTCTCGCGATATAAAAGACACAATGAGAAAGGACCAATCGTGTAGAGTGTATAAAATAGATGTCAATAGATTAAAATATAAATTGTACACTCACATTCGAATGAGCTATGGCCAGCTCAGGTGTAACAGGCATACAGCGGATTAATCCCCGCTTGTAGGATGTGAGAATGCTTGTCCTCTGGAGAGTGATGGTATCCAATTCTCAAGGAAAAAGAGATAAAAACAACCAATAGTGCTCTCTGATGACACGATGTAGAGATAGGTTGAAGTAAAATAAAATATACTCACAAGTGGAGTGCAGGCCTGTCTGCACTCGGATGATAGCGTGGGTAGTATAATCCCCACCTTAGGATAAGTAAAATGCCAGGAAAGGTAATCAAATAAAATTGTATAAAGGAATAATAGTACAACATTATTTATTTATATAAAATATACAGAATAATAAAACCAATAACGCGTTTCACCACTAGGGCTTTATCAAATTGGAATAACCAATTTGGACTGTTTTATACATATATATTTATTTATTTATTAAATTTTTTATATATATATATTTTATATATTATATATTATACATATTTTTTTATCTGTGTATTTTTTATTATTTATTATTTTTCTTGGCGCAGCCTTCCCTTGCTTTTGCTATATAAAGTTGGCCTAAGCTATAAGAAGATTGCCAAGACCCTGAAACTGAGCTGCAGCATACAACGGTTTCACAGGACAGGTTCCACTCAGAACAGGACTCCCCATGGTCGAAGTTGAGTGTACATGCTCAGTGTCATATGCAGAGGTTGTCTTTTGGAAAAAAACATTTGAGTGCTGCCAGCATTGCTACAGAGGTTTAAGGAGGGGGATCAGCATGTCAGTGTTCAGACAATATGCTGCACACTGCATCAAATTGGTCTACATGGCTGTCTTCCCAGAAGGAAGCCTCTTCTAAAGATGATGCACAAGAAAACCCGCAAACAGTTGCAGTTGGCTACCTACAAAAAGACAATTACCCTGTACTTGGTGAATGCAGCACGCAGCCTGATCTCAACGTTTTGGACGAAAACCACAACCCCATCCATAACGGATTGAATAACGAGGGTCGAAGAAATGAGTTCCATAGAGGAAATGATCCTGACAGCAAGGGGACGAAGCCAGACGTACCAGAAGATATGGTTTCACTGGCTTCAATGGCTAACGACTAGATTGAACCCACGAACCCACCCAAAAGGACTGGATACTGAGGATTGAGGACATGATGACCATAGAGAAATCCTGTCGACTAGGAGAATACTACATGCATGCCAGAAGAAATGGCTTTCAGGTCCTCGATGGCTAAAGACTGGACGTACGAAGAGGAAACTCTGCAAACCTGCAACAGACTGGGAGGGGGAGCTCATGTGCCAGTGGGATGTGGGGGTGCAAGCCCTCAGACACCGGCCAGTTCCAATGCCCCTCATTTCTCCCCCCTCCTCTTCCGCAAACTCCCAGACAGCTTTGATACCTATCAAAGCATAAAGCAGGAATACCATAGACCGGACCTTGTTTGAGAAAACTATACCACTCATGAAAGGGGTGACACCGATATGGATTACGGCACTCCCTCCTGGGTACACCACCCAACACATGAATGGGCTGACTGAATACGTGACAAAGGGTCAGCTTCCTCAGACCGCTCTCACAGCCCCCTCCCTACCCGAATCCACAGCAACACCTCCGAAATGCAACATAACCTCCCACAGAGGCACTCACACACACGACTCCTCCCCCCTTTTGAAAGGGGACACCCATCCTCCACCACACACACATAGACACCCCAGACCTTCAGCTACCAGCGAAGGGTACAAACAACCAGGCCACACCTAGACCCGGTGATCAGACCTAGACACCATGCAATGCAAGATGGCCAACCTGCCACATACCTGACCAACCTCTACTCACTAAGTACTAAGAGCAAACACCACCAGCACTAGCCATAACACACCACACAACACCACACAGACCCATCACAGCGCTGCCTTACTGAAGCACTATCCAACCCATACCTGGGCACGAGCCAGCTGTAGTGACCTGATCCAGTCATTAATGGGCCTAGCAGTACTAGGACAAGCCCTCTGTTTTACCTCTGCTAAACCCACCTACTCAGGACACGAAATGCAACACCATACTTGAGCTACCCTCGAACTCATGCCCACCCTACACGACTACCTCAGCGCTTCCTGCACATACACTGACATTTTAGGCTGGACTCATTTATGCCTTATGGCACCACTAACCTCCAATGGGGGAGGAGGGAGGGTGGGAGACA